GATGATGGACATTTGGGCTGGTTCCAACTCTTGGCTATTGTAAAGAGTGCTGCAATGAACATTGGGGAACAGGTATACCTTCGACTTGATGATTTCCATTCCTCTGGGTATATTCCCAGCAGTGGGATAGCTGGGTCATATGGCAGATCTATCTGCAATTGTTTGAGGAACCTCCATACCATTTTCCATAGCGGCTGCACCATTTTGCAGTCCCACCAACAATGTATGAGAGTTCCTTTTTCTCCACAACCTTGCCAGCATTTATTGTTCAGAGTCTTGGATTTTAGCCATCCTAACTGAGTCATCATAAAATTTCCAAGTTTGCGACTGCCACTGCAGGCCCTTGGAGATTCTAATCAATGTCTGTACCAACAGCAACAAAAATACCTCAAAACAAAATACCTCAAACAAAAATACCTCACAGAGTTAGGTATAAGCTGTTTGAAAAGTCCCAAATGTGAGGCTTAATGTGGGGAAACCAAAGTGATGAGGAGAAAAATTCCAAACTATGAAAAGGATGTAAAAATGGCTGAAGACTTCTCCCCTAAGGGCCATGGCTGTTTGGCTGTGGTTCTCAATTCTTGTTGCATATTAGAATCACTTGTGAAGTTTTTAAAAAGACTGAGATCCTCCCTCCCCTTAAGTCAGGGATTCTGACTTAAGTGGCCTGGTCTGGGGCCCAAGCACTGGCTGAAAATCACTGTTGAAGACATTTACTCGATCCAATGCGCTGCTCAAAGATCAGTACACTGACCATCAGTAAGAAAAAACCCAGAGAAGGTTATTCTGACCTTCCATAGGAGGTGTTGGTAAGAGACTAAAAGACCAAGTTTCGAAAGACAAGACTTCGGAGGAAAATGTGTTTAAAGTTAAAAGCCCAAAGGGTGATAGTGGGCTTGCTCTGAAACTCAGAATGATGTTACACTAGAGTTTCCAGGAAACGGTGGAAAGACAATATGGAGGCTGGAGAGAAGCTTCCTTCGTGGGTTATCTTCAAGAGGATGCAGGAATGTCCTCAGAGAGTGGTGTCCAAACTGAGCCCAGGCAAGTGCCAGGGTCCTGGCAATGAAGGGCTCCCCCATCATCCCCCACGGAGGATCAAAGGGCCGCTGGCAAAGGCAGAGACAAGACCAGACTGCAGCAAGCATGGCCACCACTGCTAGAACTTCCCCTCTCACGGCAGAGTGTGGAGCTGCCTTGTGCCTCTATGCAAGTGCCATGGCAGCACCAGGGCATCCCCCTCCCACTGGGCAAGCCTGCTTCCACCTCAGTGGCAACACAAACCACACCCTCCATCACTCTTCTACCCAAGAAAGTTGTCCTTCACCAGCCAAATCGACCTCCCCTTCTCTGGGAAAGGAGGGGTACTCATTTGGCTCTCTGCAGCAGGAGTAGGGTCCACAAAACACATCATGCCCTTGAGGTGGGATGAGTTGACGGTATAATGCCAAACCATGATTCAGTAAGAGGAATGACACTGGGGAGCAGGCGGTGGGTTGGCTATTTTACTACTAGGTTCTATATTCCAGAGTGAGGCGGACTCCAGCATGAACCCCTCCCTAGCTCTGAAGCTTCAGATTATGTGACATGAACCAATTCCCTGTTCTATTTTTCCAGTCTCTGCAAGGACAAAAGTATATACCAGTACACATTGTGTTTGTACAAAGCAAGGGATACTGTGTTGATTTGGGAAACTCAATTAATCAACTACCAAATCAGGTATTTGGCCCGTATGTCCAACACTAGAGAGAGAAAAGAAATACAAGTCACAATCTATTTAATCCACAACATTCCTTCCTGTAGCAGCTGAGTCTCAGACTTTCACGTGCATGTGCATCACCTGGGCATCTTATTACAGTGCAGGTTCTGATGCAGCAGATCTGGGGTGGGGCCTGAGATTCATCTCCAACAAGCCCCTAAGTGATGCTGCTACTGCTAGCCGAGTATAGCAAGTCCCTAAAGAATTCTGGATTTTTCTATCAATTTGGATCTATCCTAACCAAGAAAAAGAAAATATTTAGGCAATATCATGATAAATATTTCTGAAACTGATGAAAAAGAACAGGGGAAATATGCTTGCATTGGAGGACTTTAAGATGGCGATGGGTCCGGAGTGGGCGTGCCAGAAGACAGTGCGAGCCTGAGAAGTGTGCGCTGTGCTGCCAGAGTACTATTTGCATTTCCAAGAGCAACAGAAAAAGAACAAATCATTGATCAACTAATCTACAACAACAAAAAAG